TTGGCTTGTGGCGGGGAGGCTGTAAACTCCGTAGATGATTTAACTCCTGATTGCCTTGGTTGGGCTGGACTTGTATACGAGCATGTCCTTGGTGAAGAGAAGTATACATTTGTTGAAAATGTGAAGAATCCCCACTCTTGCACAATCTTAATCAAAGGTACTCCATTGGTATTTTCATCATCTGCAAAATATAAATATTCTTTGGTTATTCTACCCGGGAGTTAGTAATTTATGCTGCACCCATCTCATAGTAAGGATTACGTGATATACGTCATTCTATTTCCTTTGGCAAGTCCTGTGGTGATTTAATCCTTACTTCCTCTTAATGGTGCAGGGCCTAATGACCATACAATTGCTCAGATTAAGGATGCTGTTCGTGATGGCCTGAGGGCAGTGAAAAACACAGTTGAAGATGAAGCTGTCATCTTAGTAAGTTTGAGTTAGAATTTTCCCCATCGTATCTTTTTCTTAGTAAGTTTGGCTTCTGGAATGTACATCAGATTGTGATGTGGGAAACATTTTTCATATGTGAATCAGGGTGCTGGAGCTTTTGAAGTTGCAGCCAGACAATATTTAGTGAATGAAAGAAAACTGTTAAAGGGGTAAGTAAATATTTTCCTAAATTCCCTTATGGGAATTATTTTTTAAGCGCCTTTTATATTTCTAAGCCTTTATCTTTCTACTTGAAACAGCGTGCTCAACTCGGTGTCGAAGCTTTTGCTGATGCTCTTCTTGTGGTGCCCAAAACACTTGCTGAGAATTCTGGCCTCGATACACAAGATGTGATAATTGCTCTTACGGTATACCAACTTCTTTAAAATTCCTCAGTTTTTCATTTCGTCATCCATCCAGAGGTGATTGAAATATAATCACATGTGGATTCCTGTTCAGGGAGAGCATGATCAGGGAAATGTCGTGGGACTAAATCACAACACTGGAGAACCGCTTGATCCACAGATGGAGGGTATCTTCGACAACTACTCTGTGAAGCGACAGATTATAAACTCAGGGTACGTGGCATGATTTTGAAACTCATTTTCTTCAGATCTTTTTCGGTTTATGCAACTCACTGGTGTTCGTTTCTATATTATGCAGGCCTGTAATTGCATCTCAACTGTTGTTGGTCGATGAAGTAATTCGTGCTGGGCGTAACATGCGGAAGCCAACCTAACCTTCAGCGTATGTTTTTCTCCGCGTGAAGCTTCCCGTCTTGTCTTCAGTGAATGATTTGGTTGAAACCACCTTAATGTAACCGACTGAGGGCAGTTGTGTCGTTGAGGATTGTTAGAGGGAATCTGAATTTGCATCTGCTCTGGGTTTTTTCTTATGAGGAATTTCTGTAATATAAACATCTAGTGTGGCTAAAACTTTTCCAGGTTCGCATTTTCCACTCGTTTTCGAGGTTGAATCGGTTCAACTGGGTGGAAAAGAATTATGATTCTGTTGGCCTCAGTTCTTGAATTTTCAACAATTAATAGAATTTTCGAGTTTTTACCATTCGGGTTAATTATAGCATAGGGAACTTTAACGAAAAGCATCTGGTACTGTTCACTTTAACGAATGACTAGATCATGGTACAATGCTTTTTTTTTAATTCAATCCAATTCAATCCACCCATCCATTTTTCTACCATGCATCGTAGTGTGAGATAAGTTGTTCAAACGAATGGCTAGATCATGTTTTGATGTTTTGCAGAATTTTTACGGTGGAAAGGAGTGACGCTCTTGCATAACGACATGAGTTTAAACTCTATCAGTTGCAAACTAATTTCTAACTTAATGACAATATTGCTCAATTAAAATAATAATAATAATAATTGCTCGGATTTTTCGCACTCAAACTAGTCAATATATTCAAGACGAAATTATTTGCATTTCTAGGTAAATTACTCGAGAAAATTTTACCCAATCTACGTTTATTATGTTCATCGGAAAATATTTCAAACACAACCCCCAGGCATCAACCGAACTACAGAAATCAAAATCATAAACCAGTGACGCTGCCAGAATTCCGATAACAAAGTTCTATGTCAAATCATGAACCGGTGATGATCTCAGACTTATGCAGGCACTTTCCCGTCTTGTTGAAGCATGTACGCTCTCTTCATTTCCTCCAAGACGTCATCATTGGTGCTGCAAAAATCAAAACAACGTATTTCACATGCATTAGCATTTAGCAGTAGCACAGGTACGTTGGTGCTGGATATGCGTAAACTACGATCCAAAATCATTTCTCTTACTCGAAAACTACAAAAAGGGTCATAGCTCGCAACCAAAACAACATGCTCACATCTCTGCACCAACCGAACATAAGCTCATTGATGATAAACGTTCTCTTCTCTCTCGTCATGCGCTCTCAAACAGATGTAAGAAAGACGGGATACTTCTGTTCTATAACTAGAGTGCTTTCCTCTACAATTCAATGCCAAGGATCAAATTCAAAACCCCGGTTGAAACAGATTGCATAAACCCTGAATTCTTTTCTATCTCCGCGACTCATGGGTACTGCAGGACATAGGACACGAAAACAATTCATGCAATACTGTGCCTAGCACTCTAATTCCCCACAAGGCTTCCAAAACCGTTGCCTGAAAACACTTTGGAAAACCAACGCAAACAACCCAAAAGCCAAATTTAACTCTGAATAAAGGAAAAAAAACATGGGAAATGAAGAATGTCACCATACTTTTCGAAATCAAACCCAAACACCACTACCAAACTCATAACCAAAATACCACTCTACCATCTCAATTGCTTCCAAACTATGTAAACTATGCAGCATCGTATCAACAAGTAATATCATACATCGGGTACTTTTCTAATGGCCGGTCAAGACTCATCCTACACAAAAGAAATACAGAGCCACCCTGGATATGTCCGGTTACTCGGACACTAAGATACAACAATTTATGCATCACACCAAACCCTCATCAACAAAGCCATTATAATGTTGGTAGGAGCACTCCCACATTGAACATTCAACAAAATAAAAATCATTTCTTTGCTCTTTTTGTGAAAAAAAATGAATCATCAGGGAGGAAATTATAATTAATTAATTAATCGAGGAGTTGGGGCTTACAATTGGTGAAGGCATTCGTTCAATTCCTTGGCTTGCTGCCGGCACTGCCAAACGACCGATATGGTTCTTCCGTACGAGCACTCGGCGTACTTCGACGCCAAATCCTTGCACTCCTGCAGCGCCTTGTGCTTCATTTTGCTCCGCAGTGCTGTTTCAACAGTAATTTAAACACCAAATTATGAATTTTTTCAGCACAATAACAACAAATTATGCATTTTTAAGCACAAAAATTAAGAGGAAAATAACAAATTATACTCCTTTTTAGCACAATAATAACAGATTATACATTTTTAGCACAAAATTAAAGAAAAATAGTTGTTGAGACTCAGAGTCCTAGAGTTTGAGCTTTGCATACATCAACCGTACCTTCTTCAACCTTCTTCTTCACGTGATTCTCACGTGCTTCCTGTATGTATCCCATTGATTAATCCCTCTCTCTCTCTTCTCTCTCTCTCTGTGAAGAGGACGATGGACTTTGATGGTGAGCACTGAGCAGTACCGAAGGGCGGTGGCGCAAAGCCAGAGATGGGCTCGCAGTTTTACCGGCGGGTGATGATAGTCCAGGTCTAAAATGCTGGGGTTCTGAGCTTCATGTGGGCTTATTCAACTGCCTGTTTTGCACCGAATCCCTTCTTATTGGACCTAACCTAAAACCCGGGGGCCCAATCAAAATTGTTTTTTTTTTTTTTGGGTTATGAAAGGAAAAAAAGTAAGCAATAAAAAAAAATAGCAGGGGTGCTTAATTATGAAGGGTTCGTTTGGAAGTGCGTTTAAAATGATTAAAAGAGTTTTTAGATAATTTTTTTTTGTGTTTCGAAAGCATTTAAAGTGCTTCCTACAAGAAGCAACAGTTATGTACTTCTTGTAATATTGACTTGTATTTTTATTAAATATTGGTTCTAAAAACATTTTCACAAAAAACGTTTCACCAATTTTAAAAGCAATTTTAAACGAGTCTGAAATCTCTCGTATTGTATAGGACAACATGGGCCCAGACGGCAACAAAATACATAAAGGTCTCATGTTTTTAAGATGTTTTATACCAATAATGTGACCAGACATTTAAAAGGTGACCAAAGGCCAACATGGGACTTTTCAATCATAACAAAATAACATTTCATTGCATCAAAGCTCGTTATCAATATCGCCAGACATCTAAAATTTATATTTATTTTAGCAAACAGGATAAGCAAGGGAGCAGTTATGTTTGTGACTAGCCTTTGGGATTAAACTACCCGCGATTGATCCCTAATCTTTCGAATTATGGTTGATGTTAAAAAAAAAAAGAAAAAAAAAAGCCATAACAAACACGGTTTCCCTCTTTTGGTGATGCCTAATAATTGCTTTGATTGGTTTTCTTGACTAGGATCCTATTAAGTCTTCACGGTGGTTCAAGTGTGGCCATCCATTTACAACTTTTTCAAATTTTTATTTTTTATTTTTTTATTTTTTGCCTTTTCGTTTAAGGTAGAGCTTATGGGATTGTGTTTTGATTTGCTTGAACATATCTACATAACAAGTGGGAAGTCAATGCTACAATTGAAAATTTGATCATTGAACAAAAAAAAATGATTGAAAAGTGCGAATACAATAAAGAGGTGCCAAGGGTTTGTAAGAATTAGAGATGGTATGATGATTTTATGTAAGTATCAATAATAGTATTAAGAGTGTGAATCTCGTATTAGAGATATAAATATAGTGCGATAGCTTGCAACGTGTTAAGTATTCTTCTGATGCTAGTTAATTTTAAAGTGGAATCTCAGTTCCTTTCTTGGTATTACAATAGTTATCTACGTGATGAGTCCCATTAATGACACATGCTCTACCTCTATGACACCTTATATATTTTGTTGGTTTTTTTAGCCAAAATAGACCATAATACCAAAATACGCTTGAATTTTGTAAAATCATTTTGGTAATTTGTTATTAAATTGATGGTATTTTTAAAAATGACCAAAATGATTTATAGTGGATAACACTTCTATCAATTTTAAATCTCAAGTACCAAAATGAGAAATTATGTTAATCTCATAGACCATTTTAACTAAAACGCGTATTTTTGTTCACATGTTTGAAATGATTAACCTCATACGTGAGACTAAGAGAACGTTTTAGACTTACAAGTGTCAATAATAAATTTCATAAGAAATTCTATGACATGGAAATACGTAATTGACAAGGAAAAGCAAGCCATTAAACACACAATTAAGAATGAAGGTGCTATTCACCAAATCCCAATTACGCCAATTATTGAACATTTGATTGGACGGAAAAACAAAAACACAGTCAGCACTTCTTTAATTAATAGGAGTTTTAACAAAACACTTTTGATACTGTTTATTTTTAACGAAAAATCACATTTTTAGTTTTTCCTGGTACTATTAATTACACATTTTTTTGTCATTTTTTTAATTAAAACTATTGTTTTTTAAACTTATTGTTAGTTTTCCTTTAATTATTAATTAGATTTCGACACCATCAAGTACGGCCGTCCATCCGTCCGTCCCCACGAGGGAGGCAGATAGTTTGCCCTCATGTTATGGTGCTCTTTTCACCCCCTATTATTTGTGTGGTCACGGTTAAACCATATCAACATTTTATAGTGATTTTTTCTATAGAGATAATAAGACAAAAGATAATAAGAATATAAAATGTTAACATGACTTAACCGTGATCACACAAATAGAATGGGATGGGAAGGGCACCATAAAAGGGGGATTTTTTCTATAGAGATAATAAGACAAAAAATAATAAGAATATAAAATATTAACATGACTTAACCGTGATCGCACAAATAGAATGAGATGGGAATGGGACCATAAGAGGGGGGCAGACAATCTACCTACCGCCACGGGGCCCAACACCTGCAGCTCACAACCAAGGTCCAAAATGCTGATATTATTGGCGATATTTCGCCGATAATATCAGTTTTTTGAGTTACCAATATTTTAATGATTATCCAATGAGTTTTCGTCAAAATATCGCGATATTACCGATAATCGCGAAATTTTGAATCTGTGCAAATCGGAGAAGAACGTCGAAGCTTTTACAACTCCGGCCTATTGTAAAAGAGCACCCTAGACTCCGATCTAGGTATGAAAATGAAATAGAAGACGAGAGGAATGTTTGTATAACTTCTGTTTGCCGTGAAAAGGTCAGAGGTGTTTGGAAACTTCGTCGACACCCATGGCCTCGCCGAAGATGGGTGTGCCTATTCCCGAGCCGATTTCATCCAAAAAACCTTGCAAAAACACGAGATAGAACTTAAATTTGACATCTAAGCTTCAATCTATAACAGAAATAGGTAAACCCGAAGCTTACCTAACCGGAGAAATTCAAGAAACTCGTCGGAGGGTTCCTACGTTCGTCGAGTTGCAGAGACGAGAAGGAGAGGGAGAAAGACGAGGAAGGCCATGTGG